CTATGGTGAATGCTACTATGTACATGGGTGTGCAGATATCTCTTTGAGATCCTTTTTTCTCAATTATTTTGGCTATATACCCAGACGTGGATGTGCTGGCTTGTATTTTTAATTTTTTGAGGCATAGATATACATTTTATTTTGTAAGATTTTCTATTGTGAACTAATTTCATTTGTCCTGAGATTAAACTCTGCCATAATAACCAATCTTGCAGAGATGCAATGTGAACCAGGATAAGCTTGCTTCACAGTTTTCCCTCCTTTATGATTGAACCTGTTGCTAATTTAAGGAGGGAGGTAGTTTCTGAAAACATCTGCTTGAAATGAAATACATCTAGATTTTTTTAAAACGAGTTAGTTGCATGTAATTTTTTCCTACTGTAGCTTCTTTAAGAGAAAAGAATTAAGAGAGGAAAAGCTTTCTTTTTGTCTTTCCTTGATATATTTATTGGAGGGAGGTTTGGTCCAGAAAGAACACTGGGGCCTGTCTCAACTAACACGCCTGAACTTTTTTTCTGAGCATTTGTTTCCCATTTACATTAGCTGAAGATTCTTTTTTTTTTTGCGGTACGCGGGCCTCTCACTGTTGTGGCCTCTCCCGTTGCGGAGTGCTCCGGACGCGCAGGCTCAGCGGCCATGGCTCACGGGCCCAGCCGCTCCGCGGCATGTGGGATCCTCCCGGACCGGGGCACGAACCTGTGTCCCCTGCATCGGCAGGCGGACTCTCAACTACTGTGCCACCAGGGAAGCCTGCTGAAGATTCTTTTTCACAGTGATTTTCTCTTGCTTTGACACAAAATAACTAGGAAGCCCCAGTATTCTCCCTCCTCAGAATTTTGACACTCACTACTCCTAAATTATTAAGATGATAGCTAGTTTTAAAACTTTTTATAGATTCACAGGAATTTGCAAAAATAGTGCAGAGAGGTCTCTTGTATATTTTATCTAGTTTTCCCAAAAAGCTATTTTAAATTAAGCCATAATACCTGAGTAATTTTCCTTTAGAATTTTTGGGTACAAAAAGTTGTAAATGGGTAAGGGTTAGAATGAGTCACTAATACATTAATAAATACACTCATGCTGCACAAAGAAGGGGAGGGGAAGGAGCAGAGATAGTTTGAGTCTTACTACTCAACTCATGGAGTATTTGTAAAAAGTTCTTTTAGGAGAAGCTCAAGCAAGGGACACTAGTCAGCTTTCCACATCTCCACTGATCATTAAATTCTTCCTCTGCTGAGGTCACTCTTTGGTGAGCATTCATATGGGACATAAATATCTTCACCTTAGAAAAAGCTAAAGCAGACATGCTTGCTAAAAATTTAGATCCTGGGTTCCACCCTAGGAGAGTCTTACCATTCAGTCTTGGGGCAGGGCTTAAGAATCTCCATTTTCAAACATCACCGAGTGTTGTTGTGTTGCAGATTTCCCCGACTATATTTGAGAAATTAGATTTTAGGGGTTTTAGGAGACCATAATTTTGTTGCTACTTTATATTCTTATTAAGGTAATAGTTTCATAAGTCAGTGGCTTTCAAACTTTTGAGCATAGTTACAGATATATTTTATCTGTAGACTCCTGTATATACATAGATACATGAAACAGATTCATTGCAGTTACATATACTTACACTGTTTTTTAATTTAAATCATAGCTGTGACGCATGAAATTTGATTTCGCAACCAACCTCTCCACAATCAGTTTGAAAACATGGCCATGGTATTAAATGTTGTCCATGGAAGGGAAACAGAATGATTACTAAGATGGAGTAGGACACTGATCCCCCTTTTCCTCTTACAATAATTTATCCTTCTGGTTGTTGAGGAAGTTTTATTATTAGTTAAAAATATTTTTCTACCTAGAGTCTGTCATACAGAGTGAAGTAAGTCAGAAAAACAAATACCGTATGCTAACACATATATATGGAATCTTAAAAAAAAAAAAAGGGTACTGATGAACCTAGTGGCAGGGCAGGAATAAAGACGTAGACACAGAGAATGGACTTGAGGACATGGTGGGGAGGGGGAAGCTGGGGCGAAGTGATAGTAGTATTGACATATATACACTACCAAATGTAAAATAGATAGCTAGTGGGAAGCAGCCACA